GGGAAAAAAAAAACCTCCATTCATTTTTCAAGAAATTCAATATTATATATTTCAGCTTAAAAGAACTTTTTGCTACCACATTGAAACTTCAATTATTTTATCAAGAACTAGCTTCCATAATTTTTCTTTTGCAACTAAAATTTAATAATGGTTTCAAGTCTTTTCAACAATGTCCCAAAACTACTTTTGAAAAACATTAAAGCTATGAGAAATTAGGATATCTTTTACTCCCTCCTATTTAAGGATTAATTCGGAAAAAAAAAAAGGGAAGCAAAAAACTTACCGAGACAAATAGAAAAACAGGACACTTCACTCCACTTTCGCTCCTTTTAAACATATGCATCACGAAAAACAGCATTTAATTTCATGTTCCTGTCGGTGTACTCGACCAAACACCATCATATTTTATGCATTTTGAGAACGTCGTCCTCGTTGTATGACTCTAACATAGAACTTCGGATGAATTGTTGCTGGCTTCGGACCTCGGGTCACGTGTTTAATTCCCTTAATAACAAGACAGTACTGCATGAAAGCACCAGGGTTACAGTTTGCAAACAAGAAGAATTTAAATGAAAGATGTATTTAAAAATGAATATCATGGTATATCATAATGGAAGCTAATTGGGTTAAACAAAGAATCACAACATGTCAGCATTATAACACACTAGGACCAGATAAAATAAATTGACAAGAATAATAATTTGAATTTGTGAACACAGTCGGATATGTTCTAAAGTGACTCAAAAAAACAAGTGCACAATTTAGATACCCGCCAGTAAAAGAATTTCTAAGAAATGAAGTCAATTCGGTGTTCCAAATATTAACTTGTGAATAAAATTTTTAGAAATTATATTTTACCTTTGTGGCCTTTCACAAAAAAGTGCACAACAAAAAATATACCCGGCCAAAAAAAATATTGAAAAACACAACTGTAGACTTTTTTTTTCATGAATTGTGCGTGTTAAATAATACTCCAAAATATGAACTTAAGGAAAATAATTTGACAAATTCTGAGTTTCAAGTGTGCAGTTTATTGCCTAGATAAACATACGTGTAAAGCCCAATGACCCCCCAGAGAAAAATGCAAGGAAGAAGAAGCACAATAAACTACAGTCACTGCAATTTTAATCAAAGAGACAGCAAGCTGAATAAAAATTTCATAATTTAAAACACAATACTCTACGACCATTGATAAAATGATTAAAAAAGATACCTTGTTCAGCAACTTCAGAACCTGATTTTGATATGATTCAAAGACTGTCGAAATTACGAATTGACAAGCAAAGCTGAAGATTTCACAATATTATAGCCACTTGACTTCTTAAAGCCGTTCAGGCCCGTCATGGTCTTAAAAGATACACATCTAGCCGCTGACCCTGTCGAGATATTACAAGAATAAGTTGAATCGTAACTATACCATGGAAATGTATCCAACCCATAAGAACAATAATTTTCATACAAACTTATGTACTTTTGAGAAAAACCGATACAGGACATGGAATTCTTTACTACCACTCAAAGTACCTAATATTTCAATTTGCTAACAATATTTAAGATGCACAATAGACTAACAAATAATTGGTATACAGACATTACCACTGCAAGATAGACATTTTTCAGAAAAATTTGAGCACAAAATATGATAAGCAGTGAAAATGCAACACATCATAATATAAGAATTTTAATTGAAAACATCAGGTAAAGTATTCTACAAGTTAAAATGCACAAAACATAAAGAATTGCAATAAATTCCTCATACCCTCTTCTCCCCAAGGAAGTTACACATCTCAAACCCTGAGTGATGCAGTGACATGGTCGGCTGCTAAACCACATGTCCATATTCAGCTTCTTTTCTCCGGTGGCCTCGTCAGTGATGAGCCGGAAATCGAGGTTCAGATGCTTGAAGTTAAGCGTAAGCTTGTCCCTGGGAGCCTTCACCTTGATCTACAAGCCATCGGGGAACCATGGTGTCATAGGAGATAATCGCCTTCAGTTTTTCGCCATTGAAGAACGGTTCCATCATCCTGCACAGTCCACACCATGTAGCCGAGAAACCCACCACCATCTATGGAAGAAAAAAAAAGAAATAAAAATTTCAGAACAAAAATAACAACAATAAGATTGGGAAAAAACAGAGCCGAAACACTCTGTAACAGCCAGGCCAATAAACCGATAAATACTAGTTAGCCTTCGCTAACAGAAAAAGTATGCCTGAACTGATGTCGATCTTGGAATTGAGCCCGAAAAGCATCAATGATTATAGTATTCGGGTTTCAAAATTGGAAGCGAGTTGTAAAGCAAGCAGATTAAAGGGATCTTACCAGTTGCATCGAAAGCGAGTTGCGGTCGTTGCGGTCGAAAAGGAGTTGCTGCCCACATCAGGTGGTTGGTGGACTCGCGATGGAGACGCCAGAGTGGAGACGAGTGGAAGGCCTGGACGAGCGAAGGTCTAGATGACTCGCCAATTCTGCGGCCGCGGCCGCCGCTGATTAAACTGTACAGGATTTCATCTAGGGTTTTGGCTCCGGTGGGCGTAGAGTGTGCGAGAGACAAAGAGACGGGGCGGACTGAGAGCATATATAGGAGAGAGACGGAATAAGCCCTAGTTTAATGTTGGGCTTCCAATGTTGGGCTTCTTAGTCGGATTAGTTGTTGAGAAAATTATAGTTGTTCATCTCTTAGCCCATTATCTTTTGAGTCCAACACATAGTTCACTTAAAATAAAATTAAATAGTACTTTAGCATAGCATTTCGAGATTTAATGCTTCCTTTTAAGATTGAGAAAATTACTCACTACACCATAAATTTCAGTTTTATTGCACAGTTAAATATCTATTATAAATATTACCAATCCTACCTAAAATCATGTTTTTATTTGTAGATATACCAGAAAACAATGTAATCATTAATTACATATTTTTAAAGAAACTTATCAGTTTTTCTCCCCCAAATCACACCTCTTTCTCCTTATCTCTCTTCTTTTTCTCTCTCTTCTCTCTTGTCTTCTTTTTTCACTTGTGATCTGCGCAATCGTTGAAACCTGATCGATATTTAGCCTCAACGATGTACAACGAAATAGGGTTGCACACCCATCGGGGCTCCAGCTCCAGCGAAGGCGAACCGACTAGCCACCGGTTCGAGCAAGAATTTTGAATCGGGCCAGGGGGCCGTGAACTGATGTCGATCTTTCTTATGAGGACTCCACTCTAATGTATATCATAAATATTATATAACAACGAATGACATTTATTGACCTCTAGTATTTGTCATATCAATACAAATTCAATGAAGGGAATCCTGTTCTCTACCAATACCAAAAGAGAAGCAGCAAAATTCATACACGAAGCTGAAATTAACCCAAGTACAGAGAATATACTTATCTAGCCATTTCACCACACCAAAACAGCAACATAAGAAATTTAGGAAAAATGGCTACATAAAAACAGACCTCAACTCAACTTAATGAGCAGTGTTGTGTAAGCCCTAGAAGCCATACTAGCAACCTCAGTGACAACTCAACTTAATGACATAGCCAGTAAAAGAATATTCAAATGCAAACGTATTGGGACATTGCTAAGTACATTCCAAACAGTGACCAAGAAATAGAAACACCAATTTCTGTATCTCATCTGGACAAATTCCTATAAAACATATTATTACATATGTAAGAGAAGTAAATGAAAAGATGAAGTTACCCTGATAATTTCATAATTGTTCCATCCGACTTCTGATAAGAGTTTGCCCAACAGGCAATATTTGTGCCCAACCTGAATCCTCAACACCTTCAACCGTGCAAGAGCAGCTTCTCCTCGCTTAGTCTTGTGAGGGATCATTCTAACAAATATATGTAATATGTTACTCAAGTATAACAAGTTTCACCGCTTCAATTAGTAGAGGAAATGAATCAGCAAATGAACACTATACCTGGCTCAAATTAAACACACATACTTCAACTTTCTCGTTTCTGGGAAAAATGGGCCCGGTTCGCTGCAGCCCGGACACCCACACGTCACTGCTCACGCTCCCGGTTGCCGCTCGGAACAAAGGCGCCTCAGTCCACGAAAAAACCCACTCTCGGATGGTGCTCAAATCACCAGAAAAAAGGCCCTCAGCCCGGGCACTCTCCAAACGGCGGCTGGTCAAACACCCAGTCACTGCTCGTTCGCATTAAATACCTCGAAAAACGACTCAGCCCGCCGCTGCTCTCGATGGTCCCTCTGTCCCGCGGTTAGTGGCGGCTGAACAGCGTGACGGGGCGGAAGTCGGCGGGCTGCTCACGCGAACAGAGGTTAATTGGTCTGGTCAGACGTGGTCGGGGTTCGCTGGTGGTTCGACGGCGATGGTTGACTGTCGGGGCGCGGCTGTTCACGACGGCGTCTCCCGCTGGACGGCTCGCGAGCGGTTTGCGCGTCTCCCGACAGCAATTGGCTGCCTTCGGCGTCGGTCGAACGTGGCAGCGGCCCCACTTCGCTGGTCTCCGACGGCGTCGCCGGCGTGGCATACGCGACTGCCGCTCGTGGTCAGGGACGGCAGGGTTCTCGGTTGCTTGAGGAGGCGTCGTCGGAATCGCTCAGTAGCACAAGGTCGTTTCAGTCGCGCGCTCATCTCGCCGGAATTGTTGCTGGGCTGCGACGTAGGAAGGATGAGGCTCGCTGTTGCTGCTCTTTTCTGCCGAGAAGGGAGTGAGACGACGGGAATTTTGAGGAGGAAGGAGATGAGGGGCGATTTGCAGAGTTTGGAACGGGAAGAAGAAATGAGATTGCGGCTCTCTCTCTTGGCTTTAATAGAGGGAAGAAAATTAGGGCTTCGCCAAAAAGGGTTACTTGGGATGCTGTTGGGCCGATTTGTACACTAAAGATGGACTGAAAAATATAACTAAAAAAGACCGAAAATTAATCAAGTTAAAAAAGGAACAAACTTTAGCTAAATAAAGTGTGTCGAGAGGCGTTTGAACTTGATATTGAAAATGAACGATTTCCGTTTAACGAATAAATAACTAATAAAATAAATACAATCATATATAGATAATAACGGCACAAAATTAATTAAAGGCAGGCTAACAATTACATAAATGTAAGCAGGTAAATAAATACAACTAGTAGTAATAATTTAAGGCAAACAATTACATAAATAAAAGCAAGTAATAAAAATTAAAGACAAAAATAATATAATAGACACAGAAAACATATAATTCGAATGGGGCGCTACAGAAACCCTTCACAAACTCTAGATTTTCAAAAGAGCAGCGAAGTCCGGTATCGCCGGTATCACGCTGTTTCTTCCGGCGGACGGGGCAGCACACCGACTGTGATCAGCCCTTGACGTTTGATCTTGTTGTCCTGATTGGGACATGATTTTCGTCCGGATGATGAACACGAACACAAATATTGAGAACTTATGTGACTCTTGTGTATGGAATCGAAGATTAGTTCCAAATAACTTATGGAGCCTTTCCTTCTAGCGCCAAAATGTTGTTATGCGATAATTAACAGCGATAAAACTTGTAATTAATGATGTAAAACTGTATAAAGTGTTTTGCTTTGGGATTATCGTTAGATTGAACTGTTACAGGAAGTCGATTTTTGTATGAATGATTTCTTTTTGTCCGAAAATTAAATCCTCGTACAGGTATTAATTCTCTTATTTATAGTAACTTTTGTTGGCTCGATGTTCAAGGTTGGTACAGCCGCATTTAATGCAAAGTGACTTTATGGGGGCAGTTTGTACTGTAGTTGGGCCCACAGGTTATGATGACGACATGTGTGGAGGGCAGTTTGGGCAGTTGGTCGCGTAGGCACCTCGTCACCACCTTTGAGCTCAGTTGATCGCGTAGGTCGGTCGTCGTGGATGGGCGAGGTCAGTTCTGCATCTGGTTCAAACCGAGTTCATCCTACTTTGAATTGACTTCATATTAGTATCTGTTTTCCTCTGAATTTAATGACTCGGCCAGATCGATTGTCAACATTGTCATAATTCATTGTGCCCAAAAAACTTCATTTTACCACTATACACGTCAATTTTATACTTTAAGACAAACTTCCTTTTACCACTATACATGCTCTAATTCATTCGCGTGTACTAATTCACGCTTTTTAAACGCTTTATTTATCATCTTAAAACTAAATTGTGTACCATCAAAGTTTATTATATACATAAAATTGTGGACCAAATTTGTACAATCCAAGTTTGTTATATACTTAAAAAAAATTATGGTTTAACTTGGTGAAATAAATTTTTTTAAGGCTATTTTACCATTATTTATGAATTTTAATTTTTGCTTTTTCACGTGTACCATTATCACAATTTTTGGTCGTTTCATTTTGTATTTCAAAACTCAAATTTTACTATAAAAAATTGTTACTATACATAAAATAGCGGTGTAATGGATGAAAGAAATATTTTTTTTTCTTTTGGCTCTTTTACCATTATTTATATTTTTTTTAATTTCTTACCATTATTATTTTTTTGTTGTTTTAGTTCATATGATCCCATAAAACAACTAAATATTAGCTAGTTTCTAATAACTCATGAAATGTTGTTTGATTATAACACAAATAGATATTAACTTATAATAAGCTTTTGAGAAAAACGGTAGATTGACCTCAAAACATTACAAATTATTGCCATGCTTGGAGATTACACAGTACTCGTTTGCCAGTAAGTCTACGCAAATGCCAAAGTCGTGCCTTTTGGATTATTAGTTTGCCAGTGGCCACGTTACTGCCTTAAGATTTTTAGCTGTTTGGACATTCATATGCACTTAAAAGTTTGAAACGAGCACAACCACAATCGAGCCCCTTCCTGAAATGATCGTTTATGCTTCGTGGCAACAAGATTACATACTCCACGAGATTCTGTACAACAAAAAAAGAAAATCAGACATTTTGTTTGCTCAACTTTGAAGAGAAGGACAAAAAAAAAGTTCCGAAACCTAAGAAAGGTATATCTGGTTAAACGATACCATACCTCAAAATGAAAGTTCACAATCCACTATAGTGCTTTATGTTATTATCAATATATTGTTATATATATGTGCGTGAGAGTTTTCCATATCTACAATGGATTCTCATCCGTAGATGCCTGCAAGTTCACTAATTGACGTGAAGAAGCAGATGATTCAGCAAAGACCCTTTGACCAAAGTTTTCAGAGCTGAGAACGAAGTTTGCAGGGTGCAGAATAGGGCTTTTCCGGTGTGGGAAACAACTACTTTCCACTTCAAATTAGTATTTTATCAATGCCGATAGTGATGCATAGAGTTCGGCTAAGCAACGAAAAATCCACTTTAGCAACTGTTCTCTTGGTAATTCCAGAAGTAGCTCAGCCTAAATCATAAGGAGTGACAGAATTGAAGATGAGATAGTACATACCATTATTTATGAGAGAGTAAATGTATGAGGCATTTGCAATACCTTTCAGATTTCAACAAATCAAGTACATGCAAATGTATGAGAATTAGTAAATGTAGGAACTTAAAAGAAGATACACTTGTATATAACTATTGGCACATATTCAGCTCATGAACTTAAAAGATGACAAAAATCAATAAGACATGACTGGAGAGAGTGTGATCCCGAACTAACTTGCCCAAAAGCAAATATATGTAATCTCACATTTAATCTTGTGCTACAAACCTAGACGTTGCAAAAATTCCAACAATACTAAGTACTTGAATAAACAACAAAAAGACCTGTGAGATTCAACTCTTCTACTTATCCTTTATTAACAAATATTTACTATTCACATAATCTCATTTACATCATGGTGTTTGTATACTCACATGAGGGCCCCCTCAAATATTTTATTTAGCAACTCACCTCTCCATGTGAGTGTACTTCCAGTACGTACATAAAATGATGTACACCTAGCATAACTTAATGACTAAAAACAAAAAGTATGGACATACCTTGATTGAACCCTCCTCGAAGACAATGGAACTTTGGTGTGTTTCAGATGGCATTGAATCCCTCATCATCTTGAAAACATTTTCACTGATGCTTGTTTTCATGCCCACCATCTTACCTGAAGTGTATATTTCAGTAATCCCTAAATCTGCCGCCATTCTTCTAATATATAGCTTCTTCAACAGAATTTTCATGGAGTAAGGCTCTTTTCTATAATGGCGTCGTAGATCCTCAGTAAAGAGAACTATATTCCAGATGTCTCTTTGAGCAGCATTCTCAGCTTCATTAATTACTTCAAAGGGATTTTCCAGATGATTTATGTATTCAGAAGGGAGATGGGGGTTCAAATCGAGATCAAACTGTACAAGAATAGGAATAGTAGGATCATGAATTGTGTTGATATGCCTAATTCAAAATTTCGAAGTCATAAAAAATTTGTTTATCTATTAAATTCAATACATATTTGAAGTGAGAAAGTGAACATATGGATATATCCAAAAACAAATAAAAAATAAGGAACATGTATTGCCAAAGCTCCTAGCTTTTAATGGCATATCAAACAAAATGAATGAATGAATCAGTATCTTAGTTTTCTGGGTTTAGTTGCACATTTCTAGTTTTCAATTCTTTTATTTTGAAAGTAAATATCACTTGGTATGGTCCGCCGAACAACACTAAACCTTTGCCATTGACAATAGAAAATCTTTCTGTTGGTGAAGAAGTCAAAACTCTAATCTTTAAGTTTAACAAACTCCTTCCTCAGCTGTAAATTGAATTTTCTTTGAATAATTTGTCATATTTTTTATGCGGACAATGACAATCAAAAACCAATCTTCATTTTATTGTTGATCCTCAAACGATTGCATAAACATCATGCCAAAATAAATACGAAAACTTGTGTTATCATAATAAACTACCACAAACACAATAGATCTTGTTCTCTTTTTAACGATATTCGTAGCAATGATTTTGTTGAGAACTATTGGTTAGATTGCGGAAATCAGAGTTTCCAGATAAAACTTCTGGAGAAAGCTTCTATCTCAATTCTCAGATGTAGCAATACTTCCAGAATAGTTAGATTTACATCCGCACTACACACATCCTGAACACTCCTAAAAGCACCAGTTTCGGTCCTAAGACACTAACACAAAATAGTAGTGCTAAAAGAAGTAATTCAGAAAATCAAGAAACCACATAGGAGATACAACTAAAATGATCATGGACTCAGACTTTGCAGCATAGCATAAAAGGCTTTGACATGAAAATATCTTTTTCTATGACCTCATGTTAAAAGTAAGCAATACCTACACTGAATGGTAAGGGACGGAGACTAAACGGTGTTCATCTACCTCGAAGTTCAAAAAACAAAATTCAACTCTGAAAAGAAGGATACATATGTAGGGAGTTTAAGGATATTGTTACAAACTGCAGTACTTTGACAAGTTAATCGTAAGAAGATCAAAAGACACGATTTTAGCATGATGTCTGGTCGTTGCTGTCGTAGGCACCCAAATTGACCTTGCTTAAAAATATGTAGTAGCATGAGCAAGGATCGTATCCACGATGAATAATTCAATCAAATGACTTTAATTATGTGATTAAAATGAGGGAGATATGATTTATAATCCTAATTGTCTAATTAACAAGAAAATAAAGAGAGTATTGGTAAAAGATTATTAAATAAGAGACTCAAAAGTAACAGCAAGATGAAGATGAATATATAGCTAAAAAGTGCTCCGGTTGAACTGATTTCCACCCCGAATTATTCTACTGATCCTCGATGCAAATGTTATCAATTCATAAATACGTAGATGCCGTTGAATGATGAATTTTGACTCCTAAATTGGCTATGCAAAATAAATCCTCCTACACAACCCTCATTACTAGGAAATTCCCAACATCGTGTAAAATTATCCTAGCAATAGCATTAAGAAGTAGAGCCCGACAACACAAGCAACAAATAACTAATCCGTTAAATGCTAACTTGTATAACTATTTTGCCTAAGAATGATAACGCCTAAATCCGGTCAATCACCACACTTAGATGCTTCTTACGATAGATAAATTATCTAAATCCGATTCAATATCTACCAAGCAATAGATTAAGTGCACAAGACAATAGTTGATCAGGCTACGATCCTAACACAAAATCATAAACATAAACACACAAAACAATTAATATGAAATATGAATTAACAGATAAAAACTAATTAGATCTCACAGTATTAAGTTCGGGGTTTCAATCGTGTTCAACCGAAACAAAAGATAATTAGCCGCGCAGGGCTTCCATAAATTCTAGCAAAAGAGTAAGAGAAATAATGAGAAAAGAGAAGTGAGAATTCTTAAGATTGATGATCGCGTGATCTTCTTCTGCTCCTTGCGGCTCTTCTGTTCCGTGCAGTCTAGGTTTCAAAATCTGATCTGCTTCCTTTTAATTACGGCTGGACTTTTAATATCGCTAATGGGCTTAGTGTTAACAGGCCTATGTTAAGAACTGATACGCTGTGCACTCCGTGTATACTGACATGGCCATGTTCTACAAATATCAGCGCTGCCATGTTGGTTATATGTGCACCAAGTCGAGCTCATACGATCTAACTGCACCAAAATATCAACAATGGTAGATTCTACTCGAAGACATATTATAAAGTCGAAAACACGTCACTTAAGCACAAATATCCAATACAAACTCAATATTTTACTATAATAAAAACACATATTTTCGACTTATCAATGTCTATATATATATAAGCAATCATTATGAAAAATAATTTGAGGACCTGCATACCATGGACAAACTCTCAAAAAGCATTTTAAAGAAAAGATCAATCCTAACATTTCCAACATCCCCTGTTTGCTGCTCTCCGAAGATATTCCCAAAGCCTCTAATGCCCATGTCTCTTTCTGCAAGTTGAAAACCTTGTCCAAGATCTCGACATTCTTCTAGACCAACAAGGCGCTCCTGAAGGGTAAAATGAAAATGTTATTTTAGACGAACTAAGGAAGTGGAATAATTTTCTTATTATTGTTTTATTCTGTTATAAGAAATAAGGAATAATCGACAATACTAAAGAAATAACTAAGGCAGAAACAACTGCAGAAAGGTGAAATAAGGGAAAGAAAACGTATTAGCAAAGGCATGAGCAGCATAAATGACTTTTATAACTGTTGTGTTGTACTTCCGTATATTGTTCAAGTAGATGGTAGAAAATTTGAAGAATGTACAAGTGCCAGATCAGAAAGCAGTGACTTATCCGGGTAAAATAAGTACGGTGAGCCTCCTTATCTGCTCGGCCCACTCTTCCACGCAACTAGACAACAAAGTGTGTAATTGTTCAGAGATATCCGACACAAAGAGACAAAAATAACTATTCACGCAACAGATGGCTACTACATATTTGTATTGTTAAGTTCAACATAATCATGCTTGGCACTTTAGTATCCTGAATTTCCAGTTACATATATAAAACACACACACACACACAAGAAACACACACATATATAAAACTTTTATTTCATCTTTCATATATAAAACACACACAAAAACACGCACATATATATAAGTCTAACTACTATGTGTTACACATGATTTATGAAACAATCTGTGAAACACAACCAAATTCTATGAAGAAAATTAATTATTTCCTCAACTCAAATCATAGCGTAGTATCATCATTCATCAAGGACAACTATAAAATTTTTACAAAGAACCATTCAATCATATATATTAGAATTACCACAGAAATATCAATAAAATTATTTTCATATAGGTCATTCATTATCAACATATTCAATCATATAATCACCCAATAGAGGGCTTCAAAAAAATAACTTTTAGCCAGATATCGAACTGGCTACTTCGAATGTCCAAACTGCCAGCAGGTACTGTTGTAGAAATGGGACCATTGATTAAGAAGAAAAAGCCATGGCATGAGTGTAGCAAGGCAAAACCTAGTCGCCTCGAAAAGCTGTAGTGAGGCGCACGTGTTAAAGACACCATCAAGGCGCTTGCCTCACGTGGGACGACACCTCAATGTCACCCCGAGCACCCAGATGCAATTTAAGTTATTAGGTTATGGTCCTTCACTAATATTTCTCAGTTACTCCTACTTCCTCCAACAAAAGCCTAAATTACGTTGTGTCGTCTCTTCAACTGGCTGAGGCAACGTAATTCTAGCGGTGCTCCACAACCGACAATGGCAGCAGGCATTCGGCTAAGAGTTACATGTTTTTCTCTCTCTTTATTTTCTTTCATCTTTTTTCGTTTTCTTTTCTATCTTCACTGTTTCAGGACTCTCCGCAGACACCATATTTTTCAACCATAGATGCACAAATTGGCACCCCCTACAGGTGCTACTTCCAAAAGTCGTTTCTCCTCCTCCCTCCTTTACAACGCCACATCTACAGGCTTCCCTCTCCCTCGTTGGTCGAACAGTTGAAAGTGAAAGATCTAAAGTTTTTAATCAAATGATGTATACGTTTTAGGACCCATTGAGAAATAAATCTCATAGCTTTTGGAAACAAGGATGTCCTCAGCGCAGAAAATCTAGGAGCATTATTTTCGCCAAAAATTCTCTGTCCTAATATTTTCTTCTCTTGCATTTATTAAGTTGCTTAAGGTATATTTTTGTTCTTTCATAGTTGTTAAAGTGATAGACTAAGGTCTTTAATGGTGTCCACAAGCATAAGTAAAAATATATCATATTTACTCCAACGCAATATTTTAAAAAGTTTGATCTAAAATGAGGCATAACCACAAATCGATACTTATATTAAAGGGGATACTATTTACTACATTTAGTATCTAGAAAAGTCAACTGCATTTAATGCATTAAAACTATCAATTGTACTGAGAGTGGCATTCCTTAGTTCTTCAATTATGTTGTAGATAGGCTTCCCATTCTCCAAATATATACGATGATTGAAGAATCTCCCCTCTAGGATTTTTTATCTCTCATTTGCTCATTTAAATAGAAGTCGTCGAGGTCCCCTCCGGGAAAAGAAAAATGGAAGAATAAAAAGTGGCACAAGGGAAGAGCAATAGGTAGGACCAACCTACAAAAACGAAACGGTCCCTTCGCAACCAGTCATCCATACTATCAAATAAATCATTTTTGTCTTTGGTAAATTTACCAAGAATATCAATCTCATTGGAGAAAAAATTTCGTCAATAAACTTGGTATACCCCTTTTAATCATTTTTATTATGCTTCAAAATTCACCATCAAAGTTTATAATATACATTAAATAATGGTGTATTGTGGCAAAAGAAACTTAGTTTGAGGCTTTTTAAGTTTTAACCATTATTTATGTGTTTCTCTTTCTGAGTTTTCGCGTGTACATTAGTACACGCCTTTCATTCGTCTTTGCTCCATTTCAGAATCGATTTTTCACACATCAAAGTTTATAATATACATTAAATAATGGTGTATTGTGGAAAAAGAAATTTAGTTTGAGGCTTTTTAAACATTATTTACAATTTTTCTTTTTTTTTGTTTTTAAATGTTTGTCTGTAAAGTTGTACTCGTCCTTTCAGTCGTCTTTGCTCCTTTTAAAAATTGAATATTCACCATCGAACTTTGTATACAATAATAGTGGTGTATTGTGGTAAAAGAATTTTTTTTTTTTGAGCTTTTTTTTAACTATTATTTATAAGTTTTTTCATTTTTGAATTTTAACCTATACAGTTGTACATGTTGTAGTTTTATTTTTACCAGAGTAGAATCAAAAGATTCGAACACCGGGTCGTGTTCTCAAGGAAGGTTAGTCGGACCATTTTGTACGTTTATTTGATCACAAAAACAAAAATATTCCTAAACACTCTGATTATCAACTAATGAAATGGAAATGAGCTTTTTAAATCTAGAAAATACAATTCAAGAAGATAAATATAGTTCTAAATATAAATACACGAGGTAGAGTATCGGGGACAATCACTTTTGGTTTTACATAAATTTGATGGCAATCAACAATTCGGTTAAAAGGCTCTATTAACTAACTCATTTAGTGGTTTAACCTCACTAACTCTCGTAATATGCGGAAAAACATAAAAGAGTAAGTTAACGAGACAATCAACACATAGACAATACGTTCCCGAACATGTCTACTCTAAACAAGCCAAGTTCTACCAATTTCGCCCCTCTCGGTTTTGAAATCGATTGTATAGATTAAAATGGTGATCAAGCATTCAATCATAGAATAAATAAAACATGCAAAGATTGAGTAATTGACATCCACATTAATAAGAACGAACCGAAACGATTATCCCCTAGCCCTAGCTAGAAGATTAGTTGTTCATGGTAAGTTCAACATAAACATTCACATTAGAACAAACCATCTTTGACATAGATAAAATGAAATAGATAACTTACTTGTAATGAGAAATCCACAAGAGCAAATGCAAACTTAATCCAAGTACAATAATATCTTCAAAGTTCTCCAAAATAAAAGTAAACACAAACTTAAAAACTTAAGAAAGAAAATGGTGTAGAAAATAGAAAAGGATGATGGAAGATGATAGATGTCTCATAGGATCAAGAAAGGATGTTCTTATGGCCTTCAAAACCATGTTTCCAGGTAAGTGATGTCCCTTAAGTGCTCCACTACCGAGCTTTCCAACTCATGCCATGTTTTGAGGAAAAGAAATTTTGTGTTGCAGTCCAGCCTGGGATAGCGGCCACTAAGGCATTTGAACTACAAGGCTCTGCCCCAGTTATCTTCTCATAGCGGCGCTATCAACAAGGGAATAGCTGCCGCTATGGACCATAGCGGCCGCTAAGGCTTGGCAGCTACAAACATTTTTTTTTGTATACTCTCGTGCTCGATTAGCGTCCCCGAGTCCCACCTGACTCGAAAACTCAATAAACGGACGGCTACCTGAAATCACATCAACGGGAAAAAACACAAATACCAAGGAAAAATAGAAAGAACACAACAACTATACCACAAATACCAAAATAACAATAAAAACACACGAAACGACTAAATGGACCAGAAAATCCTAATAAACGACCTAAAATGGGGAGAACGACCAATAAAATACCAATAAAAATAACAACAGAAATGGGACAAACAGTACACTACCTTTCATTTATTTTTATTCCGTTTCAAATTTGAATTTGCACCATCAAAATTTGTAATATATATTGAATAATGGTTTATTGTGGCAAAAGAAATTCTGTTTGAGTCTTTTCAATCATTATTTATAACTTTTTTCGTTTTGGAATTTTCGTGTGTATAGTTTTTTTTTTTTCGTGTTTCTTCCTTTTTGGAATTAAATTTTCACCATCAAAATTTTTAATATACATTAAATAATAGTGTAATGTGACAAAAGAAATTTTATTTGAGTCTTTTTAACCTTTATTTACAATTTTATTTTGTTTTTGAATTTTTGTATGTACAGCTGTAGACGCAAAAATTGGCTCTTTAAACCACTATTTAGATAATGGTTAAAATTAACTTTTTAATATATATTAAATAGTTGTGTATTTTGG